GTTTCTTTATATGTAAAGTTGTATATAATAATACTTTTAGAACCTACATCACAGGATTAACTTTGGAACCTTTAAAGTATTATGTAAATGCCAGTTACTATTAAAGCTACATTTGAGCAGAGAAGTCTTAATGTAAAGGGGACACTGTGTATTATCACTGTTTAGTGAATACCGTGCGCAAAATAGACATTTAACAGACATTTGTTGATTTGAATAGAATACTGGATAAAAGAGCATTAGAGCATCTGCACGCTGCCTGGCCTCACAATCTCTAACACATCAGCTGAGCACTTTTTCAATAGGTTCAATTTCAGTTTGACCTACATATTAAAGCACTGTATTTGGTCAGTAGTACTGGCATGAGAACCTCATTTGGATTCTCAGTTGATCAACCACCCTAACAGGCCCTTCTATCAACCATAAGCTTTGTTAGCACTACATCTTAGCCAGGATTATTAGAACTAATCTGCCACTGCAGGTGCAGGATGCATCTACACATCCAGGCTTAGCTGTCTGCTCTCCAAGTGGGCTCAATATCTGTGCCCACGTGCATGGGAAGATCAGAATTGGACAGAGTTCTCTATAACACCATTTGCACCTGGATCTCCCTCTTGGAAAGAATATTTAGGCAATCCTCCCTCTCTGCTGCACAGACCAGTAATGGATTGGTCACAGGGCTCAAAGAAAGGCCATGAAAGTCAGCACACAATGTCCAGACTTAGGTTCAGTAGATATTTTCTAGCAATGCCATTCCACCAAGCCATGGTCTCAAGGTCTAAGAAAGGATTATGGTGTGCTGAAGTGTATTTGAGATCCTGACCTCTTGAGCTCAGTGGAGTCAGAAGGAGACGTGCATAGCAGCTGCCACCTCTGATGGAGAAGCTAGGGATGGAGAGAATGCTAACAGCCAAAGAGAAAGGACAGAGGCTCTGCAAAGATAGGCTGACCAGGAATAACAGGTTGGTTTGCTGGTCATGGACAGACTTCCTGGATTAAACTGACGGAATACCAATTGAAAAGTACTGTGGCTAGACTTTTACAAATCTAATGAAGCACAACCAAATAACCTCTCCCCACCAACTTCAGATGCTACAAATTAATCATACAATGCCATTCCAATAATGCTCCCTCCTATTTTGCACCATCTAACCTGTGCTGTGGTAACTCCTGCTTGTCAGGGACTCCAGGGATACACTCTGGCACCAACCTGCCTTGGCTTTTCACTCTATACATGCTCGCTTTCCAATGGGAATGCCATCTCCTTATCTCCAGATGAAGAATGCTTTCCCAAAGGTTTGCCTGACCACCTATAGATGCAGGCTTTGTCTTGCTTCAAAAGGGATATGGCACCATTACAGTCACTGAGACATTGTTGATATTAGCTCATCAACATGTGCAGGTCTTTGACAGTCTGAGGCTGGCAATCCATTCTGGCTCCATTTTCTTTCATAGTAACATTGAGTCAAACAGTGTTATATGATTATACCCTATAGTTGGAATGCTTCAAAGATCATGGGAACTGATCCTTTCCTAAATTATTGGAATTCTGTTCGCTATATATGGTTCTAAGGCAGAACCTGCCCCTTTGGCTTGGAATAAAGAGTTGGGTCCTGTCTGTTCAGGGAAGGACAAGTATCTCTTGAAAGAGTCCCAAGTCTGAATCTGAGAGCAATGAGAGGCTGGAGATGAGCTGACAGAGACAGAGGGATGCAGTGGCAAGAGAATAGGAGTGAGAAGCAAAGGATAGGAATTCAAATTTTAGCTTTGCTCCTTGCGTGATCTTGGTCAAGATATGTAGCCTCTCTGGGCCAGCAGAAGGCAGGCTAGAGTCTCTTTCAGTTCTAAAGTCCTTTGAGTACTTGACAATGAAGCATATAGGAAAGGGACAGAGAGTGGGCAATAAAATATAAACAGTCCAAGCCTCACATCACTTCCCAGACATTCCCAAGACATGTTACTTTATCTACTTTGACCAGCCATCATTGTTATCTCCACCCCACAGGAACCTTGGACTCTGTCTCTTGGGTATCAGACTCTGACCATCAGTAAGCTTTTTCCTTATCTTAGCGAGAACCAAGTTTCCATGGCATGTCCTGGCCATCTCTAAACCTCGCTGCCTGGGTACTGCCCTTCTCCCCACTCCCCTCCTAGATCGTCCACATGTATTGTCTTCTTCCATTAGAATGTAAACTCCTTCAGGGCAGAGACTAACTTGCTTGTATTTGTATCCCCAGTACTTAGCACAGTGACTGCACATAGCAGTGCTTAATAAATGCTTACTTTCTCATTCTATCCATCTATCCCTCACCTGTTTTCTTCAACAAAAATAGGGAAGTTATAAAGAGGTAATTTTTTTTGTGGAAGATGAGTTCCATTTTGGGTATATTTTATTTGAGTTGTTGGTAAGATCCAATGGGATGGGTGGGGGGCATGGAGGTGAGGGGGAGAAAAGAAGAGGAGGAGGAGTTGAGAGACGGGGGGGAGGGAGAGGGAGAGAGAGAGAGAGAGAGAGGAGAGAGAGAGAGAGAGAGAGAGAGAGAGAGAGAGAGAGACAGAGAGAGAGACAGAGAGAGAGAGAGAGAGAAAGAGAGAGAAACAAGACAGAGCCTTGGAGAACACCCCTGGTTGTAGGTGAAGCAACTAAGATGCCCAGAGGAGACTACAGAGTAGATTAACAGGTTGAAAGAGAACCAAGAGAGAGTTGTCACAAAAATCCAGGAAAGGGAATCTTCAATAAATGAAAAAACAATTAAAAACTATTTACAGTAAAGTCTTGAAAAATCAGTATGCCAGAGCTTATTGCCTTTTAATGTTTAAGTCAGGAGACATATCTGTGCTGAAACTACAAAAACTTTTTTTAAAAAACATCCTAAAAGTCCACAATAGGGGGGGCTCATTACTATGAAAGTCAATCCTTCTAACAATAAACTGAAACCCTCATTTCTAAAGCAGTTGATTATTATTTCTCTAGTTAAACAGGAGTAAAGGTCAGAAATCAGTAAAATAAAGCTAAGATGGGATTTTATGCACTTTGGCCACTTTTCTTGGCCATGGGGTGTTTTCTTTGAGTTATATTGCAAATGCAATATCACTTTCTTTTTCTGATATGTTGTAATTTATAATAAGATTACTACGATGCTTTTTAATGTGTTTATGTTTCTCATTTCCTAGGAGACCAGCTTATGGCCAAGGGCAAAAGAAAGGCCTGTAAATTGGCTTTCTTCAATTTTGACTATATTGACTCTTCATTCAGTTGGAGTGAAAATTCGATTCAATAGGGTTCTATACCAGGAGGCTGAAGGAAAGGTATGAAATTCCATATAACATCTTAGATGACTTTTAAACAAACATAACAGAGACAGGAGCCAATTGAATATTCTCCCCTGAAGAGCAGTCAAGTCAGGAGGCCACAAGCTTATTTCAACAAGATTGCAATTCCAATTATACCCATTCCTGTACTGTATCAAATTAGTTTAGGCCCAAGTAAGGTTGCAACTATGATAAACAATTAATAAGCAATTTCCTAAAAGACACTTAGCAACAAACATGGAGGTAAGAAGAGTATGCTGAAACAAAGCTAGAAAGATTAGCTTCAAGGGATCTGCGCCTTTCAAGTAAGGCAGGAGGTATTTAAGCTACATTTGCCCTGTCCTTAGAGCTGGTGCACCCTGGTCAGAACAGCTGAACCCTTATCTGAATTATAGTGTGGTTTAAGAGAGAGTCCCCTATAGCCTGAGGGCAAAGTATTGAAAATGGCATAGAATGGCATCATTTTATTTGAGGGGAACCAAATCAGGGGTCTCAAATCAATACTGCAGACAAGGAAAATGGAGTGAGACTGAGGCAGGAATGAGGTGAAAATTCTCATCTAGGAGGGAAAGGCTCACTAGAAATCTTGAGTCAAAGTTGGGTAAACTGAGGAACTCCCCACTCCCCTTTATCTGTGTGGTGAAAGTGGTCCCAATATCCTGCTTTCTCACAGAAGATGTGATCTGTAACTGGGTCAGTTCTTGAAGTCTTTCCAGTTTCCTGGCCTAGCTCTTTAGAAAACAAAGTTTACCACCATAGGCAGAGTAGGATTTTTCTGTAGGAAACTATAAAAAAAGTGGGACAAAATAACAATAACATTTATATACCACTTCAGATTTTAAAAAAGTTTTAAAACTATATATTTTCATAACTGTTTTTGTTATATTATATAGTAGCTTATTTTCTAAGATTTTTTTTAAAATTCAAGGCATTCCAACAAAGAAAGCAAGGAAACTCCTCTCTGCATTATTCTCAGTGGGATCAGAGAAATATTTTTCTTTTATAAAAAGGAAGGAAAAATTCAATTTAATTTTATTCGTTCATTCAGCGGCTTGTGCACAAGCCTGAGTTCCTGGATGGGGATAAAAAGCAGAGTCCATGTTTCTCCCAACATCCCTCACCAGGAACCCTAAAGAACTTAAATATACCAAGGCAGGATAAGACCAAGTACAGGCAAGTTTAACAGAAGATAGAGTCTGATCAAGGTAAAGAACAAATCCAGATAAATTCCTTCAGGAAAGAATAAGAAGAGATCAATTTAACCTGGCTCTTTTCGGAGAAATTTCTCTGTCCGCCACTATTGCTCTTTGAAAGTGGACTGGATTGGGAGTTGGAGGATCAGGCCTTCCAAACCTAACCACAAGGCATTGTGGGAGGATTCTGGACTTGGTGTGAGGAAAGAACGAGTTTAAATCCTAGCCCTGAGACATTTTTAACCCAGTACTCAGCACAGAGTAATTCTTTAAATAAAACAATAAAGTTCTTTGTCAGTCTTTCATCTATCACCTATCTGTGTGACTGAATCACAACCTCTCTGTGCCTCAGTATCCTTATCTGTAAAACAAAGGGGTGTGAGTCCATTCCCTCTAAAGATCCTTTCCATCCTTCTGACTCTCTTCTGCTATTCTATAATGCCGATGGGTCTTTGTATTCTCCTAAGTGAGCAAGCTGGAATGTGGGGTCAGGAATACCTGGGCTCTGATGCCTCTCCTCAGCCACTTTCATGCTGTGACTTCGCCTCTCTGTGCCCCAGTTTCTGTGTGTCCCCTCCGGCTCTATAACCCTCGTGGATGCTATTAGCCCCGGGTCCCAACGCCTGACCTCCACTCCCTTCCTGCACAGTGTGAGGCTCCTCGGGCTTCAGCGAGGCCTCCAGGGAGGGGCGGGGAGGGGCTGGCCCGGCGTGGGGGGCGTGGCGGGAGCACGCCGCCTGGGCGGGGCCACACTGGCCCAGCTTTCTAAGCGGAGGGCGGCTGGGCCAGGTGCCATACGGAGTGGACATGGGGCTGTGCCTGCCCTGCCTGGGAAATGGGCCCCGGGACCCGCCACACGTAGTAAGTGAGGCCTCTGCGCTGTCTCCCCCTCCCTCCCCTGACGTCCTTCCCACTCCCCGGCCCAGGAGCGACAGGTGTCCCTGGCAGCCTGCTGGCCACTTTCCTAGCCCCGGCTTGCTCGCCTCCGCCTCCCCGGCGCCTCGGGGAGCGGCTGGTCTTCCCTTCCGCCCCAGGGTTCCCTCCGGGACTGGACGCTGTTGCGGCCCCAGTTGCCCCGGGGGGCGGGTCTGAGAGCCTGGGTTGCGGGAGCCTTCCAGTGCAGGGCGGGGCCGGGGGTGGGGTAGGGGGAAGGCACGTGCGTGGCCTGGACAATGGGGCTTGTGTGTACTGGAGGGCGCCCCCCCCTCCGCCCCTGGCGCGTGAGACCACGGGGGGGGGGGAGTCTGAAGCCCTTTCAGGTGGGGTGGTGAGAAAGGGGACAGCTCCTAGGATCTCATTGGTTAGAGAACTGCCAGGTGAGAGCGTGGCCCTACTATGAACACCTGCGCCTGCTCTACAGTTTACGGAACTTCAGGTTTATTCGGGAGCGGCCAGGTCTACATTGGCTAGAACGCTGGGTAGACCTGAATTCGAATCCACCCTGTTTGTTGCAATTCCTCATCTGTAAAATGGGAACAGTTTAAAACCTGTCTCCCAAGATGGTTGTGAGGATCAAATGGATAATACTTGCAAAGCACTAAACACAGTGTGGAACACATAATAAGTGCTGCATAAATGTTAGCCGTTGTTATTGTTGTTAATTGTTCTTGTTATCTGGGGCAGGGATAGGTTCCAGGGTCACATAGCTGGTATGTATCAGAGATAGGGATTGAATAGTTCTCGGCTCTAGGATCGGTTCTCTGTTCATTGTGCCATGTTGCCTCTCTTGGTGAGCTCTTATGTTCGCTGCGATTTTGGCATAGGGAGTGGCCCATTATTTCATTGATTTTTGGCTTGTGAATTTTATCAGGCTCTAGGACCTGCAGTTTAATCCCTGTCATAGATTCCATACTGCAATGAACCTGAAAAATCAGCTAGTTTAACTCCTTTATTTTTATGAATGGAAAACTGAAGCCTCCAGAGCTTGGGTCTTGCCCAGAGTTACAGAAGTTGCAAGTGGCAAAACAGGGGTGCAATTCTAGGTCAATCCAACTCTAAAATCCCAGCACACAGTCCTCTGTACCCAGCCACTTCTCACCAGGTGTCTTCTTGGTCATTGGCGTAGAGTCCCATGAATGGTAGTTTGGGTAGAGAAGAGTTTTCTTTACATTCAATGTTATTTCCCAGTTCCATATTTCCAGAAGTTTTCACTTAATTGGAAAATTTCTTGGAGTGCTCCTATTGCTACTTATTCTACTGTGATTTCTGGATATACATTTGTGTTTATTTACTGTAAAATTCCATATTAAAATGTAGTTCTGCTTTGCTTTTACAGTAATGCAGATGTTCATTCAATATATCCTTTGTGGAAGGCTTTTTTTTTGAAAGAATGTTTTTACATCAATATGTTAAAAAGAGGATCCCTAGAAAACTCAAGAGATTTGTCTCTTCCCTTGGCAGAGGTCTCTTGAGAAACCCTTGTGCAGCAGCAGAAGCTTGGGAGTCAATGGACCTACATTGTATCTTAAGCTCTGTCACATCCTAACATCTGTCCTTGGCACTTAAAGTAACTTCTGTTGTATGTAGCGTTGTCTTGTCTTTTCAGCTATAGAAGGCATCATGGGGGACTTACACTTTATTCCCTATATAACCTACTGTGGCAATACATAACAGAAAAAGAAAAGACATGGGGGGGGCAGTAATCATTTTCTGAGAAATAACTATATACCTCAAAATTATTAACACTTCGGTATTACAAAGCATTTTATTACTTATTTGAACCTTTCACAACAAACCATCCATATCTTGAATCCTTGCTGGTTAAGTACCCAACAAGGAAGGCTGCTTCCTTCTTTGCTTTAGTCTCTGACAAAAAGTAACAATTCTTACCAAGGCCAACACTTCTGCTATAATTTAGTAAGCATTTATCAAGCGCCTACTGAGTTACAGATACTGTGTTTGGCTCTAGGGATGCAAAGAGAAACTGCTGTGATCTGGGGCAGGTAGGTGGCACAGTGGATAGAGTACTGGTCTTGGAGTCGGGAGGACCTGAGTTCAAGTTTAGCCTCAGACACATAACACTTACTAGCTGTGTGACTCTGGGCAAGTCACTTAACCCCAGTTGCCTCACAAAAAAAAAAAGAGAGAGAGAAAGAGACAGAGAGAGAGAAATTTACATTCTATTTGAGCCCTTGATCTATCCTTCAATTATTCTCTCTCTCATGCAAGAACACACACACACTTTTGATCTTTTCCTCCTACTTACATTCCAAAAGCCTTCCTGTTTTGTTAAAATAGCAACAGAAAAACAACTTTTTAAATTTGCCATGACATACCTTCTATCATATTTTATTTCCCAATCCTTTTATAACTAAACTCTAAGTTCTTTTGTTTGTTTTTGTTTTTGTTTTTAAAGCCTTCTGTAACCCTTGTGTTCACTTCTTCTTCCACTTCTCAGTCAGGTCAGATCTTCCTAACATCACCCCAAGATCTCTTCTGCCATTTCCTTCTGCCCACTCACATAGCTGACACACCATTTGCGGGTGGTATAAGGGTCACCTCTTGCTTTGAACCTCCTGATTGGACTTTGGCCTTTCTATCCCCTCTGTAGCTCATCTTATACTAGCTGCCAGAAGGAGAAGTCTGACAACATTGGACTTTCTCGACATTTTTGGTGACTTCTGTTACCTTTAGGAAAAGATGTGAATTCCTCAGCTTGGTTTTTAAAATCTTTCAGAGTCTGGCTCTAGCCAAGTGCATGTTATTCACATTTCATCCACGCAAAATTCCAGGCAAACTGGCCTTGCTGTTCACCTTATACAACCTTCCATCCCCATCTCTGTGCCTTTTCATACACCGTCCCTTCGTCTTCCCTTCCAGTCATTTTCTATACTTTGGACAAAGTGATTTCCAAGCACAAATCCAATCATATCACTCCCGCCCACCTATTTCAGTAAACTCTAGTTGTGCCCTATCAAATTGAGGATAACATATGTGCTTTTCTGTTAGGCTTTTGAAGCCCTTCTTAACCTAGCCCCAGATTTCCTTTCCAGCCTTGTCCATTACACCCCTTCCTGTACTCTCTGATCCAGCTAAATTGTTGTCCTCACTGTTCTCACACTAGATATCTAAATATAAAAGACTTTGGTTGGGAGAGAATAAGGCCAGTAGCAGTTGGGAAGGTCAAGGAGAGCTGCCGTAGAAGGTGGTACCTGAGCTAAGGCTGGAAGGAAATTGACTGGTCCTTTGAGCCTGGGTTGAGGACCCCATGTGCTTTCCAGGCATGGGAAGAGGTAGAATAGGCCAGCACTGGGGCCCCACGGTAAGGCCCTAGCTCTCTGTCCTTAGACCAGCCTTTTAATGTTTCTTGTCTCATTTACATGTGTGGACATGAGGCTCTGAGGTGTTAAATGACTGGCCCAAAAACTTACAACAAGGAAGCATCAGAGCAGGCTGCCCAGCTTGAGGGTTTGGTTTACCGGTCCACATTCTTCCTATTGCAACACACTGCTTCCTGAGTTAGCATGGCAACTTGCTGCTCTGTTTTCTCAGGGATTTTCATAGTCATTTTAAAAAGGTATTATCAATTTTTCACAGGAAGATAGAAGACTAAAACTTGCAGAAGCTGCAGAAAGAAGACAGAGAGAGGTGAGATTTGAAAAGACATAGTTTTGGTTATTTGGAAATATTTTTTAATCATATCATTGTTATCATTGTGTGTGTTAGAATTTTTGTATACAGAAGTTTTCCATTTAAAAAGAATGAAAAAGATGATGCCTACTAAGTTCAAAGGCAATTAATTACCTCATAAAAAATTATGATGCAATTCCTATAAATTGCATTTACAATAAGATTAAATTGATAAAAATGTTTTTACAATTGCAATTTTTTAAAAGGAATACATCTTGTATGGAATGGAAAAGTATTTATTAACAATTTACTAGTTGCTAAACACTGGGGTTACAAAACAGAACATCAAGGGTCCCTTCCCACAACGAGGTCACACTCTAAGGGAAAGGAAACGTAAAGGAGTAAAATTCCATGCAGGTGGAAGGCTAGAGGTACTTAATTTCTGGCAGGCAAAGCCCTAAGGATCTTGGGGAGCGATGGCAGAGCAGATGGTTCCTGCTCAAAAAAGAGAGTCGGGTTCAAAGGTCACAGGGGACTTGGGCTTTGGGACACCTCCAGCAGAACAGGGGGCTGAGGTGAGATGCACCTCCCCCCCCCCCCCCCCCCCGCTAAAACAGAGAAAACAGTTAGTGTCATAATACTCCAGCATTTTGGGAATCCATGATCATGGGTTTTAGTTTCAAATCACAATCCCTTGGTGCCTTGGCATTTACTCTTCATGAGTTATGACTGGAAAAAAAAGCTAGTGCTTAGATTTGTGATCAGCTTCCTTGAACTTTAATCAGCTTTGACCTCTTATAATTAAGCATATATTCTGTCACTGACTCTGAGGTGTAATAAACAAAATATAAATAAAAAGTTAAATATTTATCATAGCAAATATATGTTAAATAAAGAAATGATTGTTGCCAGTAAAGGCAGACTTAAAGTCTTTGAGAAAGAATTACATTAGTATGTTTGTTAAACGATGATTTGGGTAAAACTCAGCCTACGCTTAAGTCTGTTTTTGTCAGGCTTAGAATGGATTTTACATTTTTACCTATGATGAAAGTTTATATAAAAATGTAAAAGCAGGAGGCTGATTTGATTTGAATTTGATTTACCATAGTTTTGGGACCACTAGTCTGATTCCTAGTTAATCAATCATGAGCATTCTTCAGTAAACTGTTGCTATAGACATAGCCTAGCAAAGCACCTGGCTTTTATTTTGCGGTTTTTTAACAACAACAGAAATCATTTATATTATACTGATTTCTTTTTCCTAAAGTCATCATCTCGAGGAATTTTAAATCTGCATTCTGTAGAAGAGAAGAAGAAGAGAAAGGAAAAAATGGAAAAACAGTTGCCTTCTGGTGGTCCCTCACAAGGAGGGCTTCGAGTAAGTATAAAGATATCCACTGAACCTGGAGGCTGGGGACTTAGTTTTATTTTTATATTTTGGTAATTGTATTTCAATATGATTGTTTTCCTTTGTGATTTTATGTATTTTGTGCATTTAAAAACATTCTGATGAGAGTTCTATAGGCTGTGCCAGACTTCTAAAGAAGAGTTCCATAATACAGCAGAGTTTAAGAACCTGTGACTTAAAGTGTAATGTAACTTGCATACTGGTTTTTCATTTATGGGGAAATTAATTTTTTTCCTTTTTTTTAATATAAATTTGTTTATTCTTAGTTTTCAATATTCACTTCCACAAGTTTTTGAGTTCCAAATTTCTCCCCCCATCTTACCCCTCCCCCCACCCCAAGATGGCATGCATTCTGAATACCCCTTCCCCTGGTCTGCCTTCTCTTCTATCTCTCCCTGCTCCCTTCTCTTATCCCCTTCCCCTTCTACTTTCCTGTAGAGCAGGATAGACTTCTGTACCCCATTTCCTGTATTTCTTATTTCCCAGTTGCATGTGAAAACATTTTTTTAAAACATGTGTTTTTAAAACTTTGAGTTCCAAATTTTCTCCCTTCCTCCCTCCCCACCCACCCTCATTGAAAAGGCAAGCAACTCCATATAGGTTGTACATGTACAGTTATGCAAAACACTTCCTTAGTAGACATGTTGTGAAAAACTAACTCTTATTTCCCTTAATCCTATCCTGCCCTCCCATTTATTCTGTTCTTTCTTTTGACCCTGTCCCTCCTCAGAAGTATTTGCTTCTGATTACCCCATTTCCCAGTCTGCCTTCCTCTCTATCACCCCCCTGCTCTTTTGTCCCCTGCTCCCCCTATTTTCCTGTAAGGTAAGACAGATTTCCATACCCAATTGAATGTGTATGTTATTCTCTCCTTAAGCCAAATCCTATGAGAATAAGATTCCCTCTATGGGGAAATTATTTTGAAATTTGAAATTTAAATGAAAAAAAATTCCTTTCATAGATATTCAGCTATCAGAATGAAAATTGAAAAATAGTATCTGCCAGACTTGGGGTGGTAGATTAGGAGACAAGATTATTTGAACATATAAAGTCCAAGTTAAGCTAATGATGTATCTTTATCTAATAGGAAAACACATATATACCAAGTCAAAGAAGTTTAGATAAAAGCTGGAAAAAAAATGGCTTGGATAGTTAAGATTTTATATTTTTAACAAGTAGAAATTTTTTTCAAGCCAAAGTAATTAAAGGTTTTTTTTTAATTACTTTCACTGGTAGAGAGAATTCAGTAGAGCAGACAAATCAAAAGTCTTCTATTTGAGACTGGAGTATAGTCATACTTTTGCAAAACCATCTTCCTAGTTGTTTATATTGTTGAAATATAGGACCTAAGCTTTCAAATCATTTAGTAGAGGCAGTTCAAGAGCAGGCTTACCTAGTGATATTTTATTTGTAACTGATATAATTTCGTTTAGTTTTATATATTACTCTCTCTGACTTTGAGCTTCTTGAAGGCTATCTAAATTTTTGTCTGTTGCCTCTTATGTAAATATATTAAAAATCTAGGAATTAAAAAAAAAGATTTAAGTGTTAATTCACCAGAATGTAATTATCTATTTCATACAATATTAAGTTTTGGTGATTTTCCTTTTTTCTTTTAAATACCATTATAGAAGGGTTAATAAAATAAAGCAAATAGGAAATACATATCTCCAATATAGATTCTTTACTTCGTTAAGAATTTTATTAATGTAGGATTTGTCAAAACTATAATTGTACTTCACCCAGGGTCTCTATGCTAATGTAGTAGAATGTGAGCCTGAGTGGATCTTCCTTCCCTTCTGTGACTTTCTCCCTGAATTTATTTACAGATGGGAAAACAGGAAGAGAAGGGTCACCTGCCTTGCCCAAGGCCATGCAGCATGTTATCCATGTAGCTTTAATGAAGGAAGCACCTATTCTTATCAGGGTTAAGCTCACCATGTTGAATGGGGGCGGGGTAGGGGTGGGAAAGCAGATGTAGTGGAAAGAGCCCTTGTTTGGGAGGTAGATGACATGGGTCTGAATTCCAGATCTCTCTTGTTTCCTGTAGGAAGACCCTTGTTACCTCACTAAGCCTCCATTTTCCTATCTAAATAGGTAGGCAATGTAGTAGATAGAGTGTTGCACTGAGAATCAGAAAGGCTTGGGTTCAAATTCTGCCTCACACATTTATGAGGGCAAAGGAACTCACCTGGGCACATTACCTAACCTCTCTGAGCCTTTAGTATGCTTATTGGTAAAATGAAAATGATCTTGCCTTGCTTTCCTTCAAATCTCAGTTCAGATTCCGCCTTTTGCCAAAGATCTGCCTTGTTCACCCTACCGCCTGCCACTGCTAGTGTCTACCCGTTAGAGATTATCTCCATGTTGTCCCTCTTATTAGAATTTGGGTTTCTCAGAGTCAGGAACCGTTTTTGCCTTTCTTGGTAGTGTTGTGTAGAACAGCATTCAGCATGTTGGTGGCACTAAATCAATTCTTGATTTGATTCACGGGATGGTTGGGAGAACCTAATGAGCTAACATGTGAGTGCTGTGTGTGCATAGATGATCTCTATAATCCTATAAAGGTGCCAAATTAATTTACAGCCACCATAGCCAAGACAGTGGGGGAACAAGAAATATAAAAGCAGAGAGATTATAATAATCCATGCCTTCCCAAGTACTCTAATCCTCACAAGTGGTCAAAAATGCAATCTTGACCAAGACAAAATGTATCCTTTTGCTATCTTAAAATATTTGTGACTGCATAGGGACTGATTTTCTTTATTAATACGATTCCCCTGAGCCTACATTATTTAAATAAAACTATATCTAGTCCCTTAGTCATGGGCCAAAGTCTTGTCTCTCTGTCTATCTCTGTCTGTGCCTGTATGTCTCCCAGTTTTTTCAAATATAGTTCTTGAGATTTGTTACTACAATTATAAGCTTGCCCTAGGCTAGGGTTTGAAACTGAACTGCATTGATTGTATGTCAGTATTTCCTTACTTAACTTCCTTATGTCTCCAAGTAGAATGCACATCTTTATCACATGGTCTTAGAGCTTTCTTTTCTCACTTTGGTCTGAAGTTTTCTGACTCAAATCCTGAGCAGTACTCCTAGTTCTTTATGCAGCTCACCTTGCATTTCTGTGTATGTGACGATTCCTGCTTGTTTGTGCATTATAACTCCAAAACTTTTATCCCTGTAGATTTATATGGAAGTAATCTGTCTCTTTTCATCTTTTTTTAGTGGACAGTTTCATAAAAATGTGTGCCAAATGGAAGATGAGACTACTGGCGATAACCTGTGGAACACTGCAGTCATCTGGCGCTTCGTAATGTGACTTTTGCATATAACACATTAACACTCCTCTGTTTTAATGTGATAAATGATAAGTCAACTGTATACTGGAAATCCTTTATTTTTTTGAGCAGACAGACCTCAAGATGTTTAACAAGATGGCCAAAACTTTTCACTGTAGTCTTTTATTTTTGCTCAAGTGGCTGTCCCGAAGGCAGGGGTCATATTTGTGACTTCACAGAGATAAATTAGTACCGCATAATATTATATTTCTGCTTTGGGTGGTAATGATTAAATCTTTAATCGGTTTTTCACTTATAGTCTTTTTTATAAAATATTAAGTGGACATTTATAGCTTTGCTGATGTGTTGTGTTCATTTTGAATTTATACTGACTTAATGTTTAAACCTGTTGATTTAATGACTAAGTAGAAGGAAATACCCAAAAATAATTTGGAGGTTCATATGAAACCAACTTTCCTCATACCTTTTGATTCACTGGATGCTCATTTGTAAGCAAATAAAATATTTAACCTGATATTTTCTGTTTAAATTTTCTAAATAAGTTATGTGGAAATAAGGGATTTTCACTAAGCTAAAATTTATTTGCTGAATTTAAAACTTGGTCCTTTTGGTACCATAAGATGGCAGTGCTGTGCTTGTATAGAAAGCAGATCAGATTTATTTCTCTAAAGACTTTTGTTGTAATTAGATTACTTACTGACATTTGTCAAGTATAAGATTTATTGTCATTTTTTAAAAATCTATTAAAGAATTACCATAAGGCAAACTGTAATTGCACTAATGTGGTTTTCATTTGTGAAAACATTCATGTGGATATTTGGGTGATATATCCTTACACATCCATCTACATATATGTACATATATGTTTGTATGTATAAGTATGTATATCTCCCTGGCCAGTATTTTCCCCAAACACCACATTATCTTTCATAGTTGATGACTAACAGTGGACTTCAAAGTTCCATGCTTTGAAGAGTACCAACCAATAATCTCCCCTCTTCTCACTAGCGATATATATATATATATAGATATATATAGATAGATAGATAGATATAGATATAGATATATATCTCACTATGTATCTTTATATACCATAATATATATCAACAGATAATATGTATTTGTATGTATATGCATAAAAATAACTGGAAGATCCTTTCTACATGAAATTAATAGCATAATTCAAACTTTATAAAGATTTTGTTTTTTAGGAACATGCTTAATCTGGAAACCTTTTGTGTCCTTGTTTTCACAATTGAAATGTAAAATGCCAAAATCAATCAAATTGATGACATATTTTCTTCATCTAACTTGCTATAGGGCAAAGGTTCTTAACTAGATCCCTTTGACAATCTGGTAAAGCCCTAAGTACCCCTTCTCAGAATGATTTTAAATGCATAAAATATAAGATTACAAAGAAACCAATTATGCTAAATTAGAGATGGATTTTTTTTTAAACCATTCAAGTTTAAAGCTGCCTTGAAATCTCTCCCTAGACCCCATGGAGCTGAGGTCAAGAATCCCTGCTCTCGGGGTTAGATTCATAAATCTAGATCACTGATTTGAAAGATACTTCCTGATTCCTATGGAATCAGACATAGGAATGTACAGGAGATAAGCCAGCACACTTGGACCAGCTACTTCAGCTGCCCCCTTTCAGCCACCTTTCCCCTCAGTATGTTCACTTGTTCCTTCCCCCAAAGTATACTCCTGATATCATTTCTGTCTCTGGCACCACTATCTGCTCAGTTTTCCTAGGTTACAAAGCTAAGGCTCAGTGTAACCTACCTAACTTTTCATGTGTAATCTGTACCACATCTTATCTTACCTCTGGATTCTCACACATCAATCACATCATTGATTTAGAGCAGGAGGGAAGCAGACCGGTCATTCAGTTCAAGCTGCTCATTATCTAGTTGAGGGAGGCTGAGTGATTTGCTTACAGTCAAACAGGTAATGTATCTTGGGGGGGGGGGGTGGATTGAACTTCGATCTTTTCGACTCTGAGCTCAGCACACTAGCCACCACCCTACTTTTCCTTTCCCGATGTTGTCTTCCTACTGCAGGCCTCCATTTCTATCCCCCTGGCATATTGAACTGGCAAAGCTATTCTTTCTTAGGTATAGATCTGGTTGTGGCATTGCTCACTGTGTTAAAATTGGTGCCTTAGCTTGGCTTCTAAGGGTCCACCGTAACCCTGAGTGACTATATCTCCCAACTTTATCTCAAAGAGCACTCCTTTACCCACCCAACACTGTCTATCCCCAACCTCTCCCTGCCTTCATTCATGCTATTTCCTATGCCTGAAACTCCTATCTGAACCATCCCCATCCTTTGGCTCTTTACTCGTAATTTAAAATTGAATTCTAGTGTCATCTTCATGAAGCTTTCCCAGATTTCCCTAATAGTCAAAGGTCATAAGGATCCCAAGATTTAGAACTTGAAAGGGCTATAGACATCAAATGGCCCATGCCCCTTGGCTTAGAAATGAAGCTTAGGCTCAACAGCATTCCATAGCTCTTTCCAAAACATACATCATTTTAATTATTATCATTTTTGGTCTCTGACCTGCCACCTAATCAGTTTGGTGAATTGCCTATGTAGAAACTCCATTCACTCACTGATGGAACTGGTCTATAAATTATTCTCAGCAAGTGGCTTGGGGTGTTGGGAGGTTAACAGACTTGCCCAGGGTCACATAACTAATAAATGTCTAAGGTATGACTCGAACTCAGAACTTCCTGACTCCGGGGTTGTAACTTTATCCTCTGTCCATACCATCTTACCTTCACTATGTTTAAAATAGGTAGTTTTATTTAAATATAGTATTTGTGATTAACTTTATTACTTGGGAAACTATTATTAATTAGCTATGTTTCTAAGAGAGTCAAAGCTTCCAATCATAGGAAAATGTGACTAATGAATATTTTTGAGTCACTGGGTTCATGAAACAAGAACCTGTTTCAAGTGCAGGAAATGCTCTATTTGTTTCTAAACCAGATAGATGACTATTATTTATGCCAAAATGACATTAAAATCATTCCTTATACCAAGGTGAATTTGTTCCTTATCTAAATTTTAATTGACCTTAAAATATTTGGAAAGTAGTTGAGACTACTACTAGATTTCAAAGTATTTAGGACTTCATTAATAAAAACCCAAATGCACAAAGGTTCTATGATTTAATCAGTTGGGGAAATCACAGTGTGACAATTCTCTTGACTGTTGCCCGCAACCAGATTGTACACCTAACGGAGAGGCGTGAAATAACTTGTGACATGGGCCAGGCGGAGTAGAATTACTGACTCAGTTTATTCATCTGAGGGTACAGGATATATAGAGAAAATCTAGCCTAACTTCAAAGAGTCCTCCCTGTGAGATACTCCCCAGAATATCTGCTGAGGATGTGATAATCATGAATTTCCTCCTTATCAGGGTTCCTGCATTGGGCTGTAAATTCCAAGGTTTTCCCAGGCACCTTGGCGCCACCTGCATAGAGGAGTGAATATGTAAATCTAAGGTTCAAAGAGTGAAAAGGAATGTCTCAGGAACCTCCTAATCAGAAAGGAATTGGAGAGCCGTGCCACTTAATCATTGAGCCCTTTTGGGTAAAAGCCTGGGCAGAGGTCAAACTCTGCCTTAGATCCAAGGCAAACCCTTATCAGACTCTTAAGATCGGCCCTCAACAACTTCCTCCCTTTGTGAATTAGCAAGGAGCTTGATGTGATGAACATCAGTTCCCAACACTGTGATCCTTGATTTAATTAAGGTAACAATGCAGGGGAAGATAAAACATAATATGATGAATAATATTGCCCAAGAAAATGCATGAAGTAACAAGGCAGGTAAATTGTTAAATATATTGGTCTCACTTAATTTTTCCAGGATCTCTACAGCCAGATTTTTTGGGTTAATCCCCGGGGAGTGACTATCTACAATCACCTGGGTGATATTAGCTAGAAAAGACAAATCAGTAGAAAGGTTACTATTATGCCAAACACCTTCTAAATGATTCTTAACCATGTTCCAATTTACAATGCTAGAGTTATATGGAAAAGGAGTAACACATACCATAGTAAAGCGATAATCACATTTTAAAGTAGCTCTAGATTCTATTTTTGCAAGTTCATCCCCAATAAATTCCACAGCATCTTTTAATGCATCCAATTTTCTCTCAAAATCTAAATCAATTTCCTTTTGTGTGTGAAGTGCCAATGACATTCCTAGCCAATGCTTCAGTGTATTGTGCATCATGCACTTGCTGTGTAAATGTATGAAATGTTACTGCAGATGCAAAAGGGATGAGATAAGTGATACCAGGGACACAACTCCCCAAACGACACATTGGACACATCTCTTTTTTCTAACAGAAATCTCTCGATTAAGATAGTACAATGTTTGATCAGCAGGAGCTAAAAACCATCTCCTGTACTTGAGTAGGAAATATAGAATATTTAGGTCTTTCTAATATCATAGCTACAAATTCCCAAGTTCCATGTGCATAATATAAGCATCTATTTACTACACAATTTTTGCATACATTTTATAATTTACTGCCATCAGGTGTCAGTGTGATGTTGGGTCTTCCCAAAAGAAATGCTTGATGCCTGGGTAAACAGGCAACTAGCTTTGTTCTATTATAAAAAGAGCAATATCAGGTTTAAAGGGAGTGGCAGCATGTAAGTATATAGGATCAAATGCTGCCATTGCTAACCAAAGTTTTTCCTGATGTACACCATTCTTATTGATAATTCCTGGCATAATCCACCCCTGTCTTGCACCCTCAATATCATGATCTAATTTATTCCATATTTCAAATTTTTTCCATTTGTAGTTGGCTACACCCCTATACTGAGTATGACATTTTACCCAAGGTGGAATTTTATGCCATGCTGAAGATACAGACATATTAGAACAATCTGGCCAGGGAGAAAGATGAGCTGGCCCTTTCACAGATCTAGTAGTTTTCATACCAAACATAGATATATTCCAAACTATTCCCCTAGGAACAAATT